GCCTTTCCACTGGGATAGGAAGAATAAAAAGAGATTCATTCACCTACCGCGATTTTAAAGTTAGATGTCCTGTTGCCTAACTGAAATTTTTTTCCTCCCTAATACAGATGAGTAGTCCTCACTTCAAGCTCTTTTCATCAAAAATTCCAGATCCTCAGGTACCATCTACGGTGGCTCTCTGCAGGTTTTAAAATTTTGCCTTTGTTGAGCTCTCATTTTGATGGCTTCTGTGTTTGGTCTCATGAGTCTGCATTCCACAGGTTATCAGCTGCCATTTGATTTCCTAACTTGTCCAGAACTGTTTCCAGAATATCGATCTTTTTTTTTTTTATTTATTATTATTATTTTTTTTTTTGCTTTGAGGCATCTGACAAAGCCACAGTGTCTCAGACCAGAAATTACCCAATATAATCATGGCATTGAAGACCAGATGGAGTCTAGGAACTCATTAAGAAACAGTTTACTTGGAGATGGAGAATGCCCATCTGTAATATGGGTCCTGTCATTTCATTCATCTCAAATAATTTTGAATTCCTTCCAAATGGCTATTGGGTTTAGATGGTAGTAGGGCTGTGGGCCATTAAATCTGAAGCCTGGAGAGCCATGAAGATGGAGGGGAAAGAGGACAAGTCTGAAACCTAACCAAGGGCCCTGATGGATTGCTCGATAAGACACAAAAGTGAAGTCTTGTGTCTAACATGTGCTTCCCGCAGACTGGAGTTTTTGGTGCTGAATAGAAGAGCAGTTGCTGTTAAACTGGGGGTTTGGTGAATACATTTTTTGATTGATTGTTGTGTGTGTGCACAATGTGTGATTTTGAAAATAAACATCAGCAACAATAAAAACTCCGACTGGTTGACTTTTACCTATATTCTTTACAAATACTGTTTGACTCTTTGAAAACTGTTATACTTCACCTAATGGGAGACTGCTGTTTTTGCGGGAAATCTGTATTTTTTTTTTTTTTTTTTTGCCTGCAGAATCGTTGAAAGACTAAGAAGTCTTGGTATTTAATTGACTTGTTTAATAAATGTTATATAGATGTAAAAGACTGTATAAACTGTAGAGATAGCATTGGCAAGACTTTGTACAAATGCAACCTTTTACACAGCACCATTGTGTAATTAATTTGTAAAGATTCCCATGTAGCTCTTTATTATAGTGATTTTTGGCCTTTGTACCAATTGAATGCCATTTTTTGTGATTTTAAATTATTTTCATGTTACAGAAGCTGAGGTGTGGGGCTTTGTTTGAGTTCATTTAATGTTAGAATGTCTGAATTTTTATGTAACTTTTTTGTGTGCATCTTTGAATGCAGACGCCATGGGTTTGACAAGTTTATCGAATGCAAGGTAATCTTCTAGGTTAAAGTAATTGGCAAGTTGGTGAAAGTCATCTTGCAACACACTCTGTATAGTCTTCCTTAAAGGAACACTACACTATATTTTTTAGTATCTACTTGCTGAATGCCTCAATGCAGACCTAAGCACAGCACTGGTCCCTGGTACAGTATCAGCATACACAGGTGTAATCCCTGTATAGAGTAGTGCCAAACTGATTATTTCATTGTTTAACTAGTTTAAAACCCAATAAATGGATTGTTTTTAACACCTGGCTTTTGTCTTCATTAAGTGGAGAGAATAGTCCTGTAGGCAGTGACCCTAGGGGAGTCCTTTTGCATCCATAGATCTGGATCCATGAACTCATGCCACCAGCCAAAATGAATGATTTATGTTGGACCTGTCCACTACAGTAGCTAATAGCTGCTTGTGGCTATTTCCATTTAAACCAAACTAAAAATTCATTTCCTCAGTCTCACTAGATACATCTGAAGTGCTTATTAGCCACTCTTGGCTAGTGGTTTACACTACTGAATAGCATACATTGATCAATGTTTTCATCAAAAAGTTCTATTGGACAGCACTAATCTAGATAATTGATATGTCTAAGAATCACATGGGGAATTTTGTAAAAATAGGATTTTAATTCGTGCTCCCAGCTCATGATATTGATGCCTTTTCCTGAGATGACTCTTGGAACAGTGAGGCGTTATATTAAAACCACTTCAGCTTTTCCTGAGTTGTATGAAACTATGCCTTAGCAACGTTACTGAAGTGGAACTTTAAAAAATAGAAGATACTGTGTTTCTGTTTCTCTGGTTGGGACTCAATGTCAACATCTTTGTAAATCTCCATAATGCTTCCTTTGTGCAGCCAGGATTGAGAGCCACTGGCGAAGACTTTGGTCCACAATAGACCAAAAGAGTACAAACCTGTTTCTAACATGTGTGCCCTGTGTGATTCTGATACCAGGTTTACATGATGCTTATTACCTTGATACCTCAATCTGGTTAAACTGAATTATTTAATTCCCTTTTTACTGGTGGGCTTAAAACTGAAAGGGAGGAGGGAAAGAAAAGAGGTGGGTGGCTGCTGTTGCCTAGGATAGTTCTTAAGTGTACATTGCACTGAAAAGAATGGAGGACACAGCAGGAACAGTGTGATGAGGTAGGTTTTTAGCGGGGGAGGGGAATGAAGGGTGAAAGGCGAAGAAAAAGCTCGTGTCTTTGAGGTAAGAGCTAATAATCTTTGTTTCTGAATTGGATCTTTTAAACAAAGACTTTGCAAAGTGTGTTTCAAAATTAAGAAGGAAAATTTACCGGCCTATTAATGTAAATAAGTAAGTTTTGGTGCCAAAAACAACTACAAACAGGTTAAGAAGGCTGTTTTCAGATACTTGAAAGGGCATTGCCAAGCGCTTAGGTTGAAGGCCAGTTTTAGTAAATAGTAGTGTGGCCAGAAAGAACCGGTAAGAAATTTTGTTGTACTGAAAAAAAATTAACTTACCCTACATGGTCTTCATAGTTTTATAGACAACGACCATTTCTCTTGTTAATGTTCATTGTATCCCCCCACCTTTGGACATCAGGGTGGTTTTCAGCTCTCCCTACTACAAATTACACTGCGGTGACCCTTTTCATACCTTCATGCCGAGAACTTTTTCTTCCAAGTATTTCCTTAGGATAAATTCCAAGGAGTGAGATTTTTAGGTCAAGAATCTAAACTTTTAAGTGGCTCTGGTAAAGCTTCCCTCAAAGTGCACATTTGTCAATCTGACATTGTGTATTAGAATGCCGGTTTCCCTGCTAATTGATAGCCCATTCATATTTTAACGTGATAGTCAGCCCTGCTTGGGCTTGACTATTAAGCCAGTAGTTTTGTTGTTCTGTTTTTAAAGCTTTTATTTGGTTCTAGAGGGAGAGGGGAAGGGAGGGAGAAAGAGAGGGAGAGAATCATCAGTGTGTGGTTGCCTCTCACGTGCCCCGCAATTGGGGAGCCACCCACAACCCTGACCGGCGACCCTTTGGTTCACAGGCTGGTACACAATCCACTGAGCCACACCAGCCAGGGCTAAACCAATATTCTTTTCAACTTGGCACTTTCAACTTGGCACTCTGGGCTGCTACATAAAGTAGTTTTAGCCTTGCTGATGGTACTAAGGCGTTCTGGCACTTCGGTAATCCAGATTTCCTCTTCAAGATTTCTAGAATACCTTAAAACCTGTAAATTGTTTCTTCCTCTTTCCCTCCCAGTATGATCATTTCTCCCACAGGTGTGTAACTCTGCTGGATTTAAGCCCTAACCTTTTATCTCCTGGCATGGTCAAATGCTGGGAAATAAGCTGGCAATAGCTAATTCATATGGAGAGGGATATAACTTTGGAGTTTCCACGCTCAATAGTGTTGTCTTTTCCTGTTACTACCACTGGGGCCCAAGGTCACCATTACTGACAGCCTAGATTGCAACAGTGGGGTATTAGATGGGAATTGATGGGGATTTTTTCCTTAGAAGAAAGTTGATTTCCAAGCAATTCTGGGAGCATAGTCAACTGGACTGAATGTCTACTTCGTGAATTATCCGGCCCTTTTGTTTTTGATGCAAGCACAGGGGAACTAGGAAAGATAAGTTATATGCATAAATCAAATTATTTGGTGTTTGGTACCAAAGAGTTTAGCCAAAATGGGATTTCAAGAGCAATAATCTAAGTATTTCACTTGAATTAATTTTCTGGTTTTCTGGCACCAGGGTGAAGGAAAGGGCATTCAAATAGCATTCTCATTTCTAAATACTACCTGAGGTTAGGAAAATAGTAAAATCCCTATTTAGAATAGCCAAACATACTTAAGAATGTTACTTGATGGCTCGGAATAAAATTAAACCCATTTTATGAGTTCGTTGTTTTAGGCGTGTGGACTCCGGAAGAACGAGAGGATGTTCGTTTGGTTTTGTGTTCTTGTGTACTAAAAATGTGCCTAGCCGCATACCCACCGCCACTGCTTTTCATGATTTTTAACATTCCACATTAATGTCCATGATTTCTTGGCTTGGTTATTTGCTTGGGTAGTTTCTTTTTACTTTGCATTTGTTTTCCTGTAATTCCCCTTGCTGAGTTCCTTTAGTAAATTCATTAATATTTTCAGAGAGCCGAGAGGAGAAAATTCTTTTATATAAAGTTGGCTTGATTTAAATTACGACTTGATTTACAAATTCTAACTTTCAAAGTACGAAACTGGACAACGATGCCAATTGAGGAGGAAACGTATTGCAGTCCAGAGGCTCCTGGCGGGCCTGGAAGCCCAGGTGGCCCCCAGGCCCGGCTGAGAGCAGATAAGAGGCCGCCACCCACTCACTAACGCAGGTGCCATCCCGCTGAGGCCGAGATCCTGTGGGTCGCTGTGCCGCGTGAGCCCCCCACAGTTCCCTCCTTTCGACCCCGTCCGCCGGCTTCTCTTCCTGTCAGCCGTAGCCTGTATCAGGGAGCCCCGACTCTCGACCGGCGAACCTGGCGCGCGCAGAGGACGAGGAGCCAGCCACAGACCCCCGGCGCACGAGGGGCCCGCGAGCGCAGGCGGGGCGCCGGGCCTGGGTGTCCGGCGTAGGGGGCGGCGCCCTCCGCGGCTCCGTGACTGCGCCTCTGCGCCCCCGGCTTGCCGCGGCTCCCGGGATGCGCGGAGGCGGCGGCGATGGCGATGGCGATGGTGCCTCGAGCCCTGCGTTATCCCTGGCGGCGCGCAGAGCTGGGTTCCGGGCTGCGAGATGGAGGAGGAGGGGCGCCGCTGCGGCCACCGGGCAGGTGAGAGGCCGCGGGCTCCTGCAGGAGGCGACTCAGCGGGGACGGGGGCCCGGGAAGCCGGTGGGTTAGCGTAGAGCGCGCTGCGCCGGTCCAGGCCGGGCCGCCGCGCACCTGCGACCCCTGGGCAGCCCTGTGGACCCTGTCCGGCCCACTCCCAGGCTCCTCCGGGCCGTGAAACCCCTTCCCCATCCCCCATGGCCTGGCCAAGACCGCCTCACCCCACCAACCCTCTCCTGACTCTTTTACAAGCTTCCTGGCCCGGCCTAGGCCCTCCTTACCAGAACCTAAACCACCCCGGGAGCTCCTACCCAACGCCAGCCCCTGGCAGGGGTCGAACCCCCCATCCCCATTGCATACCCAGACTCAGTTGGGGGTGGCCTGCTCCACAGCCTCCCCATCCCCCTCAGCCACTGACCGTACCCCACCCCATCCGCTGCTCCCGGTTTTCAAGATGTAGTTCCAGTGGGGACAAAGAGCTTGGACTCTAAAATCAGATAAAGCTCGCTTGAATCTTAGTGACCTTGGGCAAGTCACCTAACTTCCCTGAGGTGTTCCGGATCAATACAAATACAGTGGGAATAATAATACAGTGAGTGAGGGTCAGACTGAATATGCCGGTCCTCGAGGAATGTAAGGCATTATGAGGAAAAAATGAGTGGGAAGTATCCAGGTCATGAGTTGACTTGGAAAGCTCATATAAAATGTATTAATATGTACTAAAATACTAAGACAGCATACTAAATTATGAGAGACTCTTCACACATCTTAAGGAGAAATCATTGCCATTGTACAATAAATTTTTATTTATTGTTCTTGCTTACTAGTTACTTAGGGATCCCTCCTCCTTACTTGTAACAAGATGCACATGTTATGAATTTATTCCATATTATTGTAGCTAAGATGCCTGCTTAAGACAGGTGTTCCAGCTTAAAATTTTTCTGGGTTTATGATTTTAATCACATCGTCCTCCAGGTCCCAGAGATAAAGAGTAGCTTGTATGCTGGCATTGAAAAAAAAAATTGGCAACCTTTATTTAATATTTAGGCATAGCAAATAGCTATTCATTTCCCGCCTCCTCAGATGAATGAGTTTCATGGTTCTGTCTTCATAACTTTGTTCCAAATTGTGATCTCAGCCTCCTCTTTCTTGTAGTCCCAAACTTAGTACCAAGACCTAGGTTTACTTACCCTCCCTTTCTTTTATTTCTCAAGTTTCTCTGCCAAAATCTTTACTTCTATTCTGTCTTCTGCTTTCCCTCTCTATTCTTTTTTCAGCCTCTGATTCCTAACTTTTTTTCCAAAGTATCCCAATAGGAGTGATTTGTAATTACTTTATACCAGGACCATAATTATCAACATTGACAAAAAGGTACACAGAAGTATGTATGTGCGTGTATTCAAATTTTGGGTTTCAAGAACTTTGACCTGGGAAGAGATTGCAGTACCTACTTGAAAGGATTATATTGAGAAAGAAATAAAGTTTGGTAGCTTATGTAAAGCTTCTAGTATAAGTGCCTGGAAATTAATAACCGCCCAATAAATTATAGCTGCTGTAACAATCTTCTGATCTGGGATCCTTCCTTTGATCTCTTTGCTGTTCTGTTTAGCCTGGTGGTGAAGAATGTGGGTTTTAGACAGTAACTGCCTAGATTCAGATTCATGCTCAACCACTTTAAGTTAAGTGTTTCCTCTCTGACTCAGTTTCCTCATCCATAAAATGGAAATATATTATCTATCTTGGGGTTGTTGTGAGGATTCAGTAGGTTAATGGGGGGAGCACTGAGAACAGTGAGAGGACCACGAGCACTCAGTGAAGTTAACATTCTCGTCATGGTACTGATAATTATATTACTGACCTAGAAGTCTTATAATCTATTGGAAAAAGTTTTAATTTATTGAAAAAATTACAATTGTACAGAAAGTACAGCTTGCCCCTCATCTCCTCCAGATATTTTTTTCCTCCCACCTCTTACCTTTGACTAATACTGGTTTCTCATCTCATTTTCCTTTTGACAGCTCCATTTCCAAATATCTCCTAGCCTGGGGTTCGTAACTTCCATCACCCCACTTCTTCACGATTATCCACTTACCCAATATTTCTCTTCGCATCCTAATTCCAGATTCTTCATCCTTCTAATTTCCCCCAAACTAAATTCCTGCTTCCCTTTCTAGAAGCCCCTGTTCCACTTTTAATCAGTTAATCCGAATCCTCCGATTAACAATAAAAAATAATAAAAGGGTATTTTTTTTCACTACATGGGTATCAAAAAGTATTCAGAAACAGAATACAATCTTAAGTGAAAACAATAAGCTATCCATTATTATTTTTAGAGTTCTAATCATTAAGATACAAAAAGTCAGGATTTGTATTCTTCTCTCTCATTGAACTTCTATAAGGAACGTACAGAAAAGTTGGTCTCACTTCCCAGTGGAGATACTCATCACACTGTTATGATCCGCATGAGCCGACTATTGAGCATGTAGAAGTCCTCTTCTCTCTTCATGAAGGACACTAGGTACTTACATGGGTCTCCCCAGGACTGAAGTTTTGTCTGATACTCACTGGCACAGCCATCCCTGTTATTGAAGGCTGAGAGGCTTCTGTGCATTGGGTGGTCCACAGCAGCTTCTTGGAGCCCCCCAGTAATCCCTCACTGACCTAGCCCCTTGTTCTGCACCTCATTATCCAGCACTGAAAGGGTTAACCTCTGGCACAGCTGGAGGCCTCAGCTTGAGCTGGTGGTTAAATATTCTGAACAGCACCCCTGGGCCTCCCCAGTGCTATTAGTTATCCCTAAGATGCTGGATTAATGCAAATACCTTTTGGTTGTCATGAGCATTGCATCAATCTCCAAGGAACAACTTAAGCAGTCCCACTTGGAGCATCTTTGGGAGCAGGTAGGCACCAAGCCACTTAGGGCTTTTGGAATAATGGAAAATTTGTGCGAATGTACTTTAAACCTCATTGTTACATAGGGGGAGAAAGGTTAAGAAAACGAAGGAGCAAAAAGGAAAACAAGTTCTTTTTTTAAAGTAAAGGTTGTGTCTTACTCATCTTTTTTACCCACAGCACCTTACATACAGCTGGCATATAGTATGTACAGGGTAAACGTAAACAGAGTGAATGAATGCATGAGTGGCTGCGTGCCTCCTGCTTCATCACGAAGATATTCTTTTTTTTGCATTTTTATTTTATTTCTTATTTTTTAATTTATTTTTTCAACTACATTTGTCTCTGCCTACCCCCCCGCAACTTTCGATATTCTTGTTGGAATAATGATAACTCGCGTTTATATAGCAGTTTAAAGTTTACAAAGTTGTGCCTTGCACCTTGTAAATCTCAAATATGATTCTGATACCCTTCATTACTTTCATTTTCCCCTCAAATATGGTCCTACACAAAGTATTTTCCAAAGGAGGGTGTGGAGTTAGCCAAGAAATCACAAGCAGGGAGAAGAAATTGTAAAGAATAGCAAATAAAGGATTCTTCTTAGAGAAAGAAATAGGGTTTGTTCGTGATTTGTGGGAGTCATTTAAAGGGCCACAGTATACTTGAGCTATACCCGCTGCTAATATTTTAAGCACATGCTGTTTCTCACCCCAATCCTGCTGCAAAGATCCCCTTCTCGAAGTCTGTCTCCCCATTCAGACCCATGGATTCACTTGGAGCCCTAACCTGCTGCTAACCCCTGCAGCCTCACCTGTCACCCAGCTAGCTCCTCTTCACAGGATTCACTGCAGCCTCTCTCAGCCTCTACCCTGGGTTGAATTAGGTGCCCCTTCTCTTACTTCCATAGCACTCTTCTATCCTCTGATTTACCACGATCGGCTCTAATTACATAGGTAGGTTGATCTCCAACTAGATTGTGATCTTTTCATTGGAGAGGTTGTGTTCTTGTGTCTCCAGTGACTAGCACCAGGGTGTTTCTAAAAGTAACGTCTGGCCCTGACTGGTGTGGCTAAGTGGTTTGGGCATTGTCCCACATCGCTCGTTCGATTCCCTGTCAGGGCACATGCTTGGGTTGCAGGTTCAGTCCCCTGGAAGGGGCGTTTATGAGAGGCAACTGAATGATGTTTTCTCTCTCATGTTGATGTTTCCCTCTCTCCCTCCCTACCCCCCTCTCTAAAGATAAAATTAAATAAAATCTTCTAAAAATCTTTCAGAAAAATAAGAATAAAACAAGTAAAAGTAACATCTGGACAAACTTCAATCAGAATCTCAGTGGGTGAGGTCCAGAAATCAACTTTTTAAATCTGCTCTCTAGGTGATGCTTAAAACTAGTTTGAAAACCACTGTGTCCTAAACGCTCAGATTAGCTGGGTGAACGTATTTGAAGGTATTTGTGTCTTTTCTGTGTTGGGCTTTCTGTGCACTGGGTCAGAGCTCACAAACTCCAGTGCTTTTCTCAAAGACCATGAGATCTTTGCTTGCTACGTTAATTCCTTTCTGTTTCAGGATATGCCTTTTCGTGTGCAGGCTCTTCTGCCTCAGGTCTCTTTTGTCACCTATCGTTCATCTGTGAGTTGAGGCCCTGACTCCCTTCCCACAGAAGGAAGAGACCTTTCTCTCTGAAGATGAACTCAACGGGCCACCTCCAGGATGCTCCCAACACCACCTGGCTCCCCGCGCCTCCCCTCCCTACGGGGAACCGCACTGCTCTCCAGGCGGACCTCCAGGGTCTCACCCACACGGCCACTTTGGTAACCTGTACTTTTCTACTCGCAGTCATCTTCTGCCTGGGCTCCTACGGCAACTTCATTGTTTTCTTGTCCTTCTTTGATCCAGCCTTCAGGAAATTCAGAACCAACTTTGATTTCATGATCCTGAACCTGTCCTTCTGTGACCTCTTCATTTGTGGAGTGACGGCCCCCATGTTCACCTTTGTGTTATTCTTCGGCTCAGTCAGTAGCATCCCAGATGCTTTCTGCTTCACCTTCCACCTCACCAGTTCCGGCTTCATCCTCATGTCCCTTAAGACGGTGGCAGTGATCGCCCTGCACCGGCTCCGCATGGTGCTGGGGAAGCAGCCGAACCGCACGGCCTCCTTTCCCTGCACCTTGCTCCTCACGGTGCTTCTCTGGGCCACCAGTTTCACCCTCGCCACCTTGGCCACCCTGAAAACCAGCAAGTCCCACCTCTGCCTTCCCATGTCCAGTCTGATTGCTGGAGAAGGGAAAGCCGTTCTGTCTCTCTATGTGGTTGACTTCACCTTTTGTGTCGCTGTGGTCTCTGTCTCTTACATCATGATCGCTCAGACCCTGTGGAAAAATGCTCAAGTCAGAAAGTGCCCGCCTGTAATCACAGTTGATGCTTCCAGACCACAGCCTTTCATGGGGGCGCCTGTGAAGGCAGGTGAAGATCCCCTCCAGTGCCCCATGCCAGCTCTGTACAGGAACCAGAACTACAACAAACTGCAGCACATTCAGACCCACGGATACACCAAGAGTCCTAACCTGCTGCCAAGCCCTGCCGCCAGCCGGCTCCAGCTGGTCTCAGCTGTCAATCTCTCCACAGCTAAGGATTCCAAAGCAGTGGTCACCTGCGTGATCATCGTGCTGTCGGTCCTGGTGTGCTGTCTTCCACTGGGGATTTCCTTGGTGCAGGTGGTTCTGTCCAGAAGTGGGAGCTTCGTCCTTTACCAGTTTGAACTGTTTGGATTCACCCTTATATTTTTCAAGTCAGGATTAAACCCTTTTATATATTCTCGGAACAGTGCAGGGCTGAGGAGGAAAGTGCTCTGGTGCCTCAGGTACGTAGGCCTGGGTTTTTTCTGCTGCAAACAGAAGACTCGCCTCCGAGCCATGGGCAAAGGGAACCTCGAAGTCAACAGAAACAAATCCTCCCATCATGAAACAAACTCTGCCTACGTGTTGTCTCCAAAGCCCCAGAAGAAATTTGTAGACCAGGCTTGTGGCCCAAGTCAGTCGAAGGAAAGTGTGGTCAGTCCCAAGATCTCGGCTGGACATCAACACTATGGTCAGAGCAGCTCAACACCCGTCAACACTCGGATTGAACCGTACTACAGTATCTATAACAGCAGCCCTTCCCAGGACGAGAATATCCCATGTAACTTACAGCCAGTAAACTCTTTTGGATTTGCCAGCTCATATATTGCCATGCATTATCACACCACTAACGATTTAATACAAGAATATGACAGCACTTCAGCCAAGCAGATTCCGGTCCCCTCTGTTTAGAGTCATGGAGGCTGGAGGATCTTGTGTAGACTGTTTTTGTTTCTAATACTAATTGATATTTTTTTCACTTTTGTGAGACCAGTAGTAAAACAAAACAAAGATTCAACTAAATAGTTGGCAGTTATGATTTTCTTTTATCTGAAGTACTAGCATCTATTGGTTTGCTTTGTAGTTTCTTACATTTTAAGATTTAATGTAAAAGTTTATTATTTAGATTTTTACCCTGACCTGTGTTCCAAATTTTTGTACTAAACTTTTAAACAGATCCCCTGGAATGATCATGCTACTGTGTTGAAGTAGAGCATGAACTGATGATGATCATTTGACTGAGTGTTACCATGCTTTGAAGTATATATGAGCTGGATATTGAAAGAATGTGAAGGTATGATCCATACTGAGATGTTATTTTTATTAATTGAATTATAAATTTTGATTCTTTGAAGTGTTGAAATGGGGAAGAATACACTTTTTTTGGTAGCAGACTTATTGAATAAATAATATATTGTTAAAGCAGAAGATCAGAAATAGATTATCTGTAATGATCTTTACCAAAAATACACAAGTGTTAGGTACTTTCATAACACAGCCAACCAAGACTATAGTATTGTGATTTTTATCATTTCTTATTATAGACATTCTTATTCTGTGTCAGTTGAGTAGCTCTATAGTTCTTTTAAAAAGAAAGATGTTTTTCTGTGGTAAAAGTGAAATATTCTATTTCGGAATGGTCTTGCCCAAAAATCCTAGTGAAGATGACTGCACCTGTGGAAGAGGTATGCTGTTGTGGGGAGTGTCGGTGCTAAACGTGTTCATCTCAGCCAGGGTGGAGTTATGTGGGAAGCATTCTTGATTGTTACATGTTAGACGATTTTTATTATCGTCAAGAAGGGATAAGGATGGGAATGGGAATGTTTTGATTTATAATTTCCTTTTGTGTGAGAATGCTTGTTATCGATCTGACAAAGAGTATCCAAGTAGCTATTCAGAAATATTTTTTGTCTTTACTTATATATATTATTGTGGTGGAAAAATTCTTAAGATCTATTTTTAAACTAATTGTGTTAGTTCCCTCCCATCAATCTGAAACTGGAGATGGGCAATAAGGAAAAATAGATTAAGTATTTCTACACCTAAAATTAATTTTATTATATACTCTGTGATTTCTAACATAACTGTAAACTCATATTTTTATGTAAAAATATTTTCATTATACAGTTAGCACTTGAACTTGTTATAGTTTTGGAACAATAACTGCTAGACACAAGATGAGCATCAAGAAACAAAATGTATCTTTATAAATTGTTATATTCAAGAACAGTTATTGCAGATTGGAAGGCATTTTATTCCTGTGGGTGAAAGATATTCAATTTATAGCATCCTCTCCCAGGCTGTTCCCAAGTACAGAGGCCATAAGAGGTAAAGAGAACACACAGTAGATACTCAGCTAGAACTGTGCTCAACCTCAGTATCAACCAGTCATTTCTATTTCTGAGATTGAAGTATCAGATATGGGTTTAATTTGTTTTTTGGGTTTTTTTTTTACCTTTTAGGACTCTCTCCTTCCCTTCTTTCCCTTTCCCTTCTTTTATTTTTGCTATTCACTTTTATAATAAAAGAGAGAAAATATCCACTTTTTTTTTGTAATTGAATGCTATTTTTGGAAGTCACTATGACCTGTTTCAATTGTGCTTTTATATTTTTAATATAACACTGTTTCCATTTATTAATATTCTCATGAGATAGGTTAGTATATTATCTCTTTTTAATAAAGGATTAAGGTATCTAACATTCTCTCCCAAGAACATTTGAAGACTTGTGGCAATTTAGAAATTAGACTTTGTCTAAAATCAGAGCCTGGTATTTATTCCAATAAGCCAGACAGGTTTATAATTAGTAATATTAAGAAGATATTTCACACTTTTAAAGGTATGTATCTCTTTTTTGGTTAGGCATTTCAAATATGATTCAATAGATTTTTTTAAAAAGCAATTTCTACTTGTAAAATTAAAGATGACAGGTTTCCTGTGTGACCTTTGCGATGACTCATTTTGGGGAGGTACAAATTATAGTATAAAGAAAACTAAGCATGTGCATATGGGGCATTCAGTCTCTATGCTTGTCAGTAAATTATTGATTTATTTTGCATGAAATACGTAGTGGGCTAGATTCTTAGCCCTCCTCCGTATCTGTATCTATAGATACAGACATACACATACAACTTTTCTCTTCATAAGGGCTAAAATGAGAACTAAAAGTAATGAAAATTCAGTTGAATATGACTAATTATCAGGGTATATTAATTAGTTCTCTTGATGCTTTACTGTGATGCAAACTATGTGTGTATTTCAAGCATTTTATAATTGTTCCGATGTTAACCATTAGGCCAGATTTGTAATTCTGATGCTTTTAATGTTCTTTTAAAATAATGTTTGGAAAATAAAAATATTGAAAATTCTAACATTTCTGAATATCAGATTGCAATATTATGACTTTTCTGTCCAATCATTTAAAAACTGTCAGAGAATAACAGTAGTCATTATTGCAACGTAGGTAATATATTGAAGCTCAGAGACAGTTATTTTCCTTAAGAGATGAAATAATTTGACCACATTTTGTAGCATGCATAAATCCTCAGACTAAGAATAACTGCAAAGGTTAATTATTTATTAAACTAAGTTTCTCACCTGGCAGGAAAGGTCCTGACTAAACATTTCAAAAACCTTTTTAAAACAAGATTAAAATCTGGAAAAAGATAGTTTTAGAATTTTTCATGTATCAATCAGAGTTTGGTATAAAGAATCAGAAAATATGAATTGAAGCAGAAGAGGATTGACTACAGGAAATTAGATGTCTTCTAAATCCTTAGAAGATCAGGGCTCCATGACATGTGTCCAGGAAAGGCTGCACAGTAAGCACGACCACCGGAAGAGCCAGGAGAGCCCCCACTTCTGCTGCAGCTGTGAAGGAAGCCACGAAGCCTTCTTGGATGACTTCAGGGGCACCGTGTTGAAGTAGTTATCCAGAGATCAGAAACCTCCACTGCCACTATGCCCACAACTAACCCTCTTGACACCTCCAAAGCAACTGGCTGGACACCAAAACACTGCTGCAGGAACAGTTTGGCACCGCGCATTTCGTTGGTGGCACCCAATTTGCATTTAAAACCCTACCTTCCTGCAAATTTGGAAACTAGTAACACTAAAAAGGTAAACTAAAAGGAGGTTCGGAACAGATGCTGAGTTCCAGTCACCTCTGTCCACAGTGGGCCACCGTTTTGGTACCCAACATTTGTATTCATACCGTTAGGCATCCTCCCACTTAAAATAATGCAGCTTCTCCCATTTAAACAGAAACATGCCTTCTTTCATCCAGCCTGGCTGCTTTTATTATTGTCTATTGCTTTGGTGTTTTGCATTTTTAATATGATATGTATCTTTTTATTTATGTTAGGATTAGTTGGACACCTTGAGTATATGTCTTGGTGTCTTTCATCAGTTCTGAACAATTATCTTTTCAAATATTCTTTCCCATTTTCTCTACACTTACCTTGGATGTTTTCCCCCCATGTCTTTGTTTCTCTGTTGTGTAGTCATGCAGTGCATAATGACATTTTGGTCAAAGACAGACTGCATACACAATGGTGGACCCATAAAATCATAATGGAGCTGAAAACTTCCTAGTGATATATCCATTATAATGTCGTAGCATGTTACTAATGTGTTTGTGATGATGTGTAAACAAACCTGCACTGCCAGTCATATAAAAATATAGCACACAATTATGTACAGTATATAACTACTTGATAATAAACTGATTTATGTATTCATTGATTTATGTATTTGCTATATTTTTTATTGTATTAGAGTGTACTCTTTCTACTTAAGAGAAAAGTTTGTCGTATATGCTGTGTTATGCTGGCAGCTGTCTCACATTGTCTCGTGTTTACTGTGAATTTTGACTACATCATTTTCTTTTGTGCTTGATGTAATCTCATATTATTTTGTTCATCATGGTGTCTAACTGTGAAAATCCACTGCTAATGTTGCTAGTAAGAGACCACGTTGGGTGATAGACCTACATCCAAAATTAAAAGTGGTTCAGGTGGAAAGTCAGCTTGCCAGTCAGGCATGTTCCATTCGCCATAGCTACCAGTGACAGAAGCTGTTGAAGGATCTGCTTCAATGAAGGTGATTAGAATGACAAAAGTTTGGGAAAGGCCTTTCCAATACAGAGAGGAGCTTCTAATACCCTGGATTGACGGCCAGACGCGGAAGTGTATCCTTCTCAGCACTGTGACAATCATGGCCGAAGCAAAAGTTTGTGTGCCATCTTGAAAGAAAAGGCTAGATGCAACTACAATGGTGAACTTCCTGCTTGGTCTGGGTGGTTTTAATGAATCAAGAATTGTGGTTCATTACATACTGTGAAAGTGAGTGATGAGTATGCAAGTGCTGATGTGAAGGCAGCTGAAGAAAAGTTTTGGACATTTCTAGATAAGCCGATCGTGGAGGAAAATTACTTGCCAGAGCAAATATTCAGTGTGGATGAAGCCTCCCTATTCTGGAAACTGATATCTGAAAAGACAGCCAAATCAATGCCAGGTTTGAAGGTTTATAAGGACAGGATAAGAGTCTTGCTTGAGAGCAGCATTGCAGGCTGTAAACAGAAACCCTTTGTGATCTGAGGCAGTGAGAACCCCATGGCTTTCAAGCACATCAGTAAGCACACTCTGCCAGTGTACTACAGGTGCAATAAGAAGTCATGGATGACCTAGCTCCTCTTCCAGGATGCCCTCCTGAATTGATATCAGTGAAATGGAGAAGTACTGTTTGGAGAATAACATATCTTACAAGATTTTCCTTATTGATAATGCTCCCAGACAGCCTCCTTTTATTGGTGTGTTTTATCCCAAAATCAAAGTGGTGTTCTCCCTTCAAACATCACCTCTTTGGCCTGGCCAATGGATCAAGAGTTACAGCAGCTTCTTAGCCCTGACTGGTGGGCTCAGTGAGTTGGGCATTGTCCTGCAAACCTAAGGGTCACCGGTTTGGTTCCCTGTCAGGGCTGTGTCTGCGTTGTAGGACAGGTCCCTGGTTGGGGGCATGCGAGAGGCAACCCATTGATGTTTCTCTTGCACATCAATGTTTCTCTCTCTCTCTCTTCTCTCCCCTCCTCCAACACAAACAAAATCTTAAAAAAAGAGAGTTATAGTAGCTTTTAAGGCCTGCTACCTAAGGAGGATCTTTGCTCAGGCTATTTTTCAACTGAGGAAGAGACTGAAACAATTCTAGAATGATTACAACATTTGCATAAACACCTTGCTTGGGTTTGGGGCAATGTCACCAAGGAGTATAGGAAATGGCATCTGAAGAAGACTCTCAAGAGTCATCCATGACAAAAAGAATTTGCCAAGAATGAGGAGGTTGCAAAAATCAACAAGGCTGTGGTTGAGATAGCAAACAAGGTGAATAACTAACCTGGGTATGAATAAGGATGACATTGAAGGGCTCCCAGAGGTGGTCCTGAGGAATTGACTAATGAGTTGTTGAAACTGGAACAGAAGTAAACAGCTGAAGAAGAGGCAAGAGAAAAGGAAACTTCAGAAGAAAAACAAGAACTCTGTCCCCACACCGAAAATTCATAGTCAAGGGTTTAGCAGAAGCTTTTGCAGAACTCATCAAGCTCCTTGAAAAGTTTGAAAACATGGACCCCAAGAACAAAAGATTTTCATTAATAGTATTCATGGCGCATCATCTGCTTAAAAGCAAATCTATTATGCAAATAAGAAACAAACCAAGCAAACCATCATAGACATACTTCTGCAAACATGACTCCTTAAGATAAAGAGCCTCAGGCAGGTCCTTTGGGGGTGTTCCAGGAGAAGGCACAGTTATCGTAGGAGATGACAGCACCAGGTGTGTTACTGGCCCGATGACCTTCCAGTGGGACAAGATGTGGAGGTGGAAGACAGTGATATTGATGATCCTGACCCTGTGTATGTCGAGGCTAATGTGTGTGTTTCTTAGTTTTTAATTAAAAAGTTTAGAAAGTAGAAATAAAATAGTACAAAAAATCTCACAGAATGAGGATAAAGGAAAGAAAATATCTTTGTACAACTGTACATTGTGTTTGTTTTAAGCTGTTATTACAAAACGTTTTTTTAAGTTAAAAAAATTTAAGTTTTTAAAGTAAAAATGTTACCAGTAGGCTAAAGTTAACTTATTATTGAAAAAAAGAAAAATATTTAAAAATAAATTTAGGGTAGCCTAAGTGCAGTGTTTTTAAAGTCTGCAGTATACAGTGATGTCCTAGGCCTCCACATGCATTGACCGCTCACTAACTCACCTAAAGTAATTTCCAGTTCTGCAAACTCCATTCATAGTAAGTGCCTGGTGCAGGTGTACCATTTTTAATGTTTTATACCATATTTTTTACTGTACCTTCTCTATGCTAGGGTACACAAGTACTTTTTGTTACAGTTCCTATTCAGTACAGTAACATGCTGGATAGGTTTGTAACCTAAGACTAATAGGCTACATATATCATATAGCCT